ACCAAAAGGACGATTCCACACCCGGGGAACGCTCGATTGGTATAAAAGGTAGATGCCCGACCACGATCAACGCGTTCTTGATCGATACAAGAGCTCAACGAGCTTGGAATCCACCAAAACTCACACAAGTACGCAAACTTGCAAAAACCCAAAGGTTTCGATTTCTATTCAACAAAGTATGAATTTTACAACGTAATTAGAAAGCTTAAATAGGCCTATCTAGGGTTACAAACGTCCCATAAACTCCTAATTACAGTCTAATACGAAAAGGAATCAAAAACTACCAAAACAATGAAATCCTAACTAAACAATAAAAGGAAAATCTGCCTTTAGCTCCAAGTAACCAAACAGCTTTGATGTCATTTTTTAGCCTCTCGATCAAAGCCTTCCAAGTTGATTCGAACTCAACCAATTCCTTTCCTCTGTAGAAGAAAACTCCTTATTTCATCTCCAACTTGAATCAGGCCGAGATCATTCTTCAAACTCCAGATATAGGCCTTCAAAGTTGGTATCTCAACACAGTTTTCTGCCTTAGATATTTTCTGGCAGTTTTCCAGTTTTGAGGTAACAACTTTGAGACTTTGGAAAACAACCTTAATGATTTGTTCTTGAGCAACCAAGCATACCAAGGTGTAGATAATTACTCCATGTTCAATACAAGCCATTAAACTTGAATTTCCATTGAGCCAATTGAGAGAAACTTGCCTCCAAAATTGGCTACTTGAACACGGAAAATGACACTGACAGAAATGAATGTTCTTCAGGCAGCTTGAGCTTGCTTCTTCGTCAAGTAATTCCAACTTGTAGAGTGGCCTATTTGGGATCATATCAGGCCCTCCCTCTTGAAAAAGTGTTGCCCTCAACACTTTGGCCTTTCTTTGCTCAAACCGTTCACAGAATTGATCCCAAATTGGATCAAAAGAAGGCTTCTCAAACATCATTTTCGACGCAAACATTTCAGTTCCATACTCCCCTTCAATCTGTTTCAGAGGGATTGACGCTAGAAGTGTTGTTGGAAATGCTGGCTGGAGTTGTAATAGACCTCTATTGATAACCAATTTTGCCTGAAACTGATCGGAGCAACTCCTAGTTCGTCGGACAGTTACTACGAACTTCAACCCGTTCGGCGAAATTGGGGATTTTCGTTTCAAGGACCCCCAGTCTAATTCAACAACTAAAAACTCTTCCTGGGCTCGAAACAAACCGCCCTCGTTGTTCAAATTCTCTAGAATTCGATACGAACAAGCTCCAGGTCGTCGAACGCCACCTTTGTACATGTTCTTGCTCGAACAAATTGGGGGTCTTCGATTACAGCTTCTCCAATCCAATTCATCGACTACAACGTCTTCTCCATGCATCCAATTGCAATTTTGATCCCTTCTACAGCCTCGATTCATCACCAGTGTCTGCAATTCCTCGAGTTCTCCATTCCCGCCGTCGCCGGAATTCGAATTTTCGCAACCCAGAAAAGTCAAATCGAAATTGGGGGTTTTAATCCCAGGCATCTTCGAGACGAATTGATGCATTCCACACGTTCCTCGTACATCCTTTGGAGATTCTTCATCATTGGTTTGGCTCGATTTGAGCTGGATGGCGCTACCCACGAGAGGGTTCTAGTCGGCAGTGTTCTTCACAAACAGAGGTGATATTTTCAAAATCGATTTTGGATTTTTCAGGTTTGTTCTCTTCAATTGAAGCTATGGACATCGTTACTGGGTTCGTATAGAACGTTTCGGCGCCGTTTTCTGATTTCGATTCGTTGCCATCTGTTCCCGCCACACGAGCCTTCGGGCCACTCTGTTTTACCGGCAAACTCGAACACTCTGCTGCTCGCGTCGCCGGGTTGATTCGAGTGTCCGCAGCTAGCTTCGAGACTTCTCCTCGCTGTGCATCCCTTCCTGCAGACTCCAGGGACTCGTCTCCGGCTGCGTCGTGCTCCTGTTCTTCTTCCTTACCATCGGCAAGACTACAGTAGTTGACACTCTGTTTTAATACAGGAAAACAGGGGTCATTGCAGGTGGGCGGTTCTGGCGCTGGAAGTGCCTTCGAAAGCTTTCGAAAACTCAGAAAGCTAAACCCAATTCGTCGTTTAACCCACAAGTGAGACAGAGGCTCCTTTCCCTCGTTCTGAATTGAGTCCAATTGCTTCAAATCACCATATACTTCATCCGGAGAAAGAGGTTTCAGCTTGATCTTCCTACCTTTGTATCTGAATGTGTAGGAATTCTCCCAACCATTATGGGTAACCCATCTGTCGAATTGCCAAGGTCGACCCAGTATTAGGTGAACATAATTCATCGACACAACATCACAGATTACCTCATCTTCGTAGCTGCCGAGTTGAAAACGAACCACCGCTTGCTTCGTCACATTAATTGTTCCGTGCTCGTTGATCCAACTGATTTGGTGAGGCACTGGATGCCTTTGTGTCGTCAATCCAAGCTTTTGAACGGCTTCTAGGCTGATGACGTTTGAACAACAGCCTCCATTGATCACAAGTGAAAGTAATTTTCCGTTGACAAAGCATCGACTGTGAAATAAAAGGTCTCGCTGCTCGTCGGATTCTCGATGCTGAACTGGAGCTGCTGGCTGCTTCTCTTCACCACGAATTTTCAGATTCCTTGCCTCTCTTCTGCCTTCTTCCATCACGTTACCCTTGGAAAAATTGAAGCACCAAATTGACACCAAAAAACACAAACAGGGGCTGCTCAAAACAGGGGCTCGACTTCCCTGTTTTTGTCGAACTTCTAGCACAAAAGCTGCCTTCAAACTGTCTCCCCCGCCTCTGGTTTTGAACCGGAGGCTCTGATACCACTTAATACGCCCCTGGGGGGTGTATGTTATCAAAATAACGCAGCAAACGACTCAATCGAAGAACCGATTGAGCTCGAATCAAGAACGAAGCGCTCTTAATACGAACTTGGATAAAACGGAACCAAAAGGACGATTCCACACCCGGGGAACGCTCGATTGGTATAAAAGGTAGATGCCCGACCACGATCAACGCGTTCTTGATCGATAAAAGAGCTCAACGAGCTTGGAATCCACCAAAACTCACACAAGTACGCAAACTTGCAAAAACCCAAAGGTTTCGATTTCTATTCAACAAAGTATGAATTTTACAACGTAATTAGAAAGCTTAAATAGGCCTATCTAGGGTTACAAACGTCCCATAAACTCCTAATTACAGTCTAATACGAAAAGGAATCAAAAACTACCAAAACAATGAAATCCTAACTAAACAATAAAAGGAAAATCTGCCTTTAGCTCCAAGTAACCAAACAGCTTTGATGTCATTTTTGAGCCTCTCGATCAAAGCCTTCCAAGTTGATTCGAACTCAACCAATTCCTTTCCTCTGTAGAGAAAACTCCTTATTTCATCTCCAACTTGAATCAGGCCGAGATCATTCTTCAAACTCCAGATATAGGCCTTCAAAGTTGGTATCTCAACACAGTTTTCTGCCTTAGATATTTTCTGGCAGTTTTCCAGTTTTGAGGTAACAACTTTGAGACTTTGGAAAACAACCTTAATGACTTGTTCTTGAGCAACCAAGCATACCAAGGTGTAGATAATTACTCCATGTTCAATACAAGCCATTAAACTTGAATTTCCATTGAGCCAATTGAGAGAAACTTGCCTCCAAAATTGGCTACTTGAACACGGAAAATGACACTGACAGAAATGAATGTTCTTCAGGCAGCTTGAGCTTGCTTCTTCGTCAAGTAATTCCAACTTGTAGAGTGGCCTATTTGGGATCATATCAACTACACAAATCCTAGACGTCTGAAAACAACATAAACCATGTTCCATAGACCATGTTTCCAGAACCTGAAAAGAGCATTACCATGTCCACATCAAAGTCTAGACATTCCCTAACACATGCCTATTACATGTTCAAAATACAAAAGAAGGGAGATGTCATTTTCTTGGTTCATCATATCCATCCTTGCTTGTTACTGTGTCTCGGGTTGAGTCGATGGAGGTTGGGTACTGTTCATGGGCGGATGATCTGGTTCATTTGGTCCCCTCCTACCTCCTTGTTGTGGAACTCTATTACTCATCTGCAATATCAGGCAACAATTAGCATTATTTTCACCTAAGAATACAATCTTCAGGCCACATCGAGTTTTAAAAGAGCAACTAACCCGAGAATACATGTTTCCAGAAGTAGGATCAATGTAAACGCCAATTCCTTGTGCAGCCCTCCGCACTTCCCGTTCCATTTGTTGCCTGCTACAAGTACTGTTCATGCTTTCAATCTGTAACATAAAAATGAAGACATAATAAGTTGCATGCTCAAATATGCAGTTTACAAAGACCATGCTCAAACCTTACTTGAACTCCAACCCTCAACGGACAAGTTCTCGAGTTGTGCTTAGCTGCCCCACATCTCGAACAATGAGGCGCTTTTCTTCCTGGCTGCTGAAAGATAATCAGTTTTAGATATAAGTATTCAATTAAACCATCAAATTTTAAGAAGCATAGTGACAATCGACTTACCCCATTTTCAGCTGCAACCGGTGCATTCGGTGGGGCAGCACCTCCGCCATTGTTTCCACCTCGTTTCTGCCTTTTACTAGGCGGTGGAGCTGGTTGTGGTGCTGGTGGATTTGTGCAGCTCTTCCTGTTGTGGCCTTCACCCCCACACCTCGTGCAATGGACTATGTTATGATGCTTAGTAGCAACCACACCCTTACCATTTTTAGCATTCCTCGTGATCAGCTCGGCGGCCTCCTTCCTTCGATTCTTCTTTGGGCACCCAGGAAGTTTCCTCATCTTTGGCGGGTAGATCTTGTACCCTTCCACGGGCAGCCAAGCTTGAGGTCCTTCTGAAGCTGGAATTGGATACTTGTATGCATTTTTCACATAATCCAGTTGCAAGTACTGATCCACATACGCCTCAGAATTAAATCTCATAGAACGAATGGCTGAAACAGCGTGGCAACAAGGTATTCCATAAAGTCCCCAATACCCACATGTGCAGGTTCGAGTGTGTAAGTCAACAACATACCCTTTCCCATGCCATCAAATTCACATTCCAATCTTGGTCCACCCTAAACCTCTCCAGATATTCAGTAGCTATCCACTTGGCAGTAGCACCACGGATGCGAAAAGAACGAGGGCAGTCATGTGGTGTCCCAACACCCTTGACCATAAAGGTCTCTCTCTTCCCATACCAAGAAGCATACACCCTCCAGCCACAGTTTTGGGCACAAACAGCCTCTTTTTTCTTCTGGCTACTGCGTACCCATCGTATATCAGCACCAATCTCAATGGAATGTCTTGTAATGGCCTCTTTAAACTGCTCAGGACTAGCAAACCTCATATGTGTAGTGATCAACAATGTCTTATGATCACAGTTGGGATCATAAAACCGACACTTGTCAATCATGGACACTTCCTCTTCCTCGCCAATGTTGCCACGAACATGATCTGAGTTTTCAGAACCCCTATAGACCGTTGCCTCAGACCCTTGAGCTTCATCATCACCCATATCACCACTCTGTTCACCCTCCACTCCTTGTCCATCGGCGGCCTCTTCATCGACATTCACACTAGGTTGAACAGGCTCGTTCAACTCATTGGGGTCTACAAACAACTGATCAACTTCTTCCCCCGATCCAGTCTCCTCGAGCCTAGACCTCTGTAGCATGCGACGATAACGGGCCCGTATTTCATGATATTCCTCATCCGACGTTTGAGCCTCGTCTTCATCTATCCGGACGAACTCGGCTACGGCAGAGTTGTCACCCTCCTCATTTTCAACATCCTCGCTATGCCCATAGTTGTCTCCCATCTCATGAATGAACTTAGTTGCTTCAAAAAACAAAGACACCTCTCCTAGCTCGGTATCCACAAGTAGACCATTAATAACGTCGGCATCAGTGCGTATCTCGTGCAGCCCATGTTCCATACTTTGTCCCGGAGTCAAATACCACACCCTTTCCACCGACGAATATTCTAAATCCTCGATCAATGTACTCACCAACTCAAAATATGACATTTGATCAACAAGCAGATCAACTCGGTCGACAACCCCTCCAACATATATCGGTACCTCAGTAGCTGTATCCATCATTCCCCCATGATGAAATAACAATTCGATACTCATCCTGAAAAATTGGGCAAAAAATGTATCATTTAGTGTTCGAAAACCCTTTAGAATTCTTAACCGAGTTCTCAGAATCCCTAAACAGAGAAGGAACAGAAACGGTTATTGTTTATTCACATACAAACAAGCACTTTAGTATTCTATTCTTTACTGAGTTCTCAGAATCCCTAAACAGAAAAGAAACAAAAAGGGACATTGTTTATTCACTTCTGGACTTCCCCAAATTCGATTCCAATAAGATAAAGTGTAGAAAACGACATTCAGAACATTACCTGTTTCAGCTGAAAAGCTAATTTCGTATCTGAAGTGGCTCCTTGCTCGACTGGTCCCTCCTTGCTCGACTGGTCCCACAAGAAAAACACTGCACAGAGGACCAGTTGCTCGACTGGTCCCTCCTTGCTCGACTGGTCCCACAAGAAAAACACTGCACAGGGGCGGAAGACAGGAGAGGGAAAAGAAATGCGGCGCGGCCAAGAAAGGGCCGGCCGGCCGCGCACTCGATTCTGATCGGCGGTGACTCGATCGGGCTGGGTTAGGAGGCGATGATGAAGGGAAAGTAAGGGGATAAGGACGGGGAAGGGGATACGAGCGGGTGGGGTTTCACAGAAGGAAGAAAGTAGGGGAAGGGGATACGAGCCGACGATGGGGTTTCACAGGAGGAAGAAGGTCGGGGAAGAAGGTCGGGGAGTGGGGTTTCAAGATTCGGGCCGACGAAGAGGACAATCGAGTGCCATGCACTCCGATTTGGGTCGGATTCCGTTTCTGGAGAAGATCGGGGAAGGGGATACGAGCGGGTGGGGTTTCAGGAGGAAGAAGGTCGAATGAAAGGGATGGGTAAGTGTGTGGTGGACCTGGTCTCCACCTTTCCCATTTAGTTTTGTTTTTTTTTTTATTTTTTTTTAAACTTAATGACTTCAAAATGTTCATAAAAAGGGGAATAACAATAAATTACGTGGACAAGCCACGTCAGTGTCGAATACTGAGTCAGCAACGGAGAAAATTGTTGACCGTCAAATCTAACTGTCAACCCGTCCCACAGGCCAAATTTGTCCGATAATTTCAAAAGTGGGCCAGAGATGTCTTATTTGAAAAATGGGGCCAAAACTGTCACTAACGCTATACTTCGTGCCAAACGAGGGTATTAACCCAATCTAATATCCTTGAGTTAATTACTTTGTGTACAGGAGAAATTCAAGAGCAAGTGTTGCCTAATGCTCATGTATCTCACAAGGATGAAACTAGAAAGAGCAAAACTACAAATGAGAAGAACGTGTATAGATGATCTTGAAACCAAGCATTTGTAGAGATGTGATAACTATAGCATTCAAATGAATTCTAAAAGTTAGATGAATGACAAGTGCATAACCTAGCTATTTAGTGTATCCTGTATTGTTCTGGAGTGCTATTTAGTTTTGTTGGTAAGAAGGTTGGAGTTTAAAGATATTTGTTGTATATTATTTTGGGAATTTTATTTTATTATATAATAATAATTACTATGATTGTCACTAAAGTGTGTACTAGTATTATGATTGCTTGTCACCAAAGACATCTATGACAAAATCCAATCATCAAATCTTTCAAATTGTGACGAGAAAAGTTTTCATTTTTCATAGCAAAGAATAGACTCATTTATGATATGATAATCTTCATAAAAAGTCACACATGTGATAATTGCATTGTCACAAAATGGACCAAAATTTGTACATGTGACAAAATTCGTCACAGACAGTTACTTTAGTGATAATAACCTTTATGTTAAAAAATATTATTTGTGACAGAACTTCGATCACAAATGACAATTATTTGTGGCAATTAAACATGTCACAATTGTTATTTTTGCGTCGCCATTAACTCGTCACAAAATGATCTCTATTGACGAAAAAATTGTCACAATTGTTATTTTTGCGTCGCCATTAACTCGTCACAAAATGATCTCTATTGACGACAAAATTGTCACAATTGGTATTCATTTGTGACGATTTGGACTTGTCACAGATACAATTTAAATGTTGCAAAAACTTGTAAAAAAGCGTTGCCGGAATTCCTAAAATGTGTTGCCTAAAGTGGTGTTGCATAAGAGGTGAGGATGCGCAACTCTTTTTATTTTAGTTACGAAAAATGAAAAAAAAGTTGTATATTCCTTTTGCAACCCCCACTATATGCAACCCTAGTAAAAGTGTTGCGCTAGGATGCTGCAACTCTTTTATGATTTTACGCAACACTTTTCTGGGGTTGCAAAAGGCCATTTTTCCCGTAAAATTAACAAACGGACTGTAAATTGTTCGACCACCTGCAAACTAGCCAAATCGACCGACGGAAAACAATATATAGTAACCGCCAGGATATTGTATCTCTAACCAAATATTTTTTCACTAATACTTTGAATGGGTCGCGTCTTATTATTATTTTTATTTATAGGGGTAGCGCCTTCTCGAATATTATAGTCACCGCGTCTTTCGCAACTGTGCAGCGCCGCTGATAAATTTGCCTAGTACTGGTTGCTAAAAGTCTAGCCCTCTTTCTTAGTGCCTGGATCTCAATAAGAAACTCATCCAAAAACTAATACTACAATTATCAATCAAAATTCATTCACGGATAAGTTTTTACTTAACCTGGTGAGCTCTTAAGTTAACATTCTTGATATAATTAAATCCAAGTAAAACCTGTCACAATACATCACACAAATCAAAGATCAATTCAAACTGGCCTGAAAGCTCAAAGGCTCACTGCCTTGAAGCATCACACTTTAATAGAACCTCCATTGAATAAAAACATGAATACCCTTTCTGCATGCGTGTGTTGAATTCTTTCCAATTTTGTCATCAATGTCGCTTAGTGAGCGAGACCGTCAAACTCACGAGAATAGGTGTTTCTTTGGCCATCCAGTCTGAGAGAAGGAGACCGTACCTCCTGAAAACCTCGTCAATTAGGGGTGGCAGTTCGGTTTCCGGTTAGCGGCTAACCGGGCGGTTTATCCGATAACCGCCGGTTACTAGCTAACCGAAAACCGACAGTTATTTACCTCGGTCGGTTGACGGTGAAAGAAATGTGATTTCGGCTAGCCGAGTAACCGAGGGTAATTAACCGCGGTTACCCGACTAACCGAAAATAACCGGCCAGCTACCCAAAGTCCAGCCCAAAGCCCAATTCTTTCTAATTGAAGATATCAGAGCCCAAAAGGGAGAAGAACATATTCCTAACCCTACCCTTCTTCTTCTTCTTCTTCTTCTTCTTCTTCTTCTTCTTCTTCTTCCGCTCCGACGCCTCCTCTTCCTCCTCCTCTTCCATTCATAAAACAAAAAACCATCGCCGACCTCCACCAACCTCTTTCCTCCTCCTTCTCCCTCCACCAACCTCTCTCACCAGTCACCAGTTTTCCCTCCCCATCCATCGCCGACGCCATGCATACTCCGCTCTGCTCCAAAGTCGCGCGCCTGCCTCTCCTCCCTCCAACACTCCGATTCCTCCGCCGCTCCCTCCGCTCGCCTCCCGGCACTACCCCGAGGCGTCCTCCTTTGCTTCTCCTCCATGTCCCCTTTTTATTTTTGGGATTTTTGGTTCTGGTGAGATTTTTTGGCAGGAAGGAAGAAGGGGTCTGGGGGAATTTTTTTGGGAGGAAAGAGGGGAGAGAGAAGGAAGAAGATGTGGGATTTTTGGGTGGGAGGAAAGAAGGAGAGAGAAGGAAGAAGACGTGGGATTTTTGGGTGGGTGGGAGGATAAGGAAGGAGTGGTGGAGGTTTTTTTCTTTTATTTAAATTTTTTTTTTTTTTGGAAAATGTATTTTTTTCGGTTGGCCGGCTAACCGAGCCTAAAACCGGAATCGATCGGTCAGTTGGCCGGCGAATCGTGACCTCTCTTCGGTCGGTGGTCTGCAGCTACAGGTGGTGGCTCGGTTTAACCGATAACTGGGTTTTCGGTTTTCGGTTAAACCGAAACCGACCGACTGCCACCCCTATCGTCAATGATTTCCGACGAGGAATCAAAGTGATGGGCGATGACCGGACCAAACACCGCTTCCATGCACTTGGAAAGGTTGTAGCCGGCGTCCCAATTCATATCCCATACCTCTAGGCGTTCAATGGCGAAGGAGCCCTGTTTCTGGACCTCGGCTTCCACTTCCATGGCGGATGGCATGTACATTGGGAGGTTGAAGGAATCCAGTTTTTGTTGATCAATCAATCCCTTCAAATGAGACCACGATAGATAGTTTATATACATAGGACTAGGAGAGTCCGAAATAGAATCTTACTTTTATTTATTTATTTCTGAGCGATATCAAGACAAGAGTTATACAAATAAAATTACCCAATACTTTCACTACAAAAAAAAAGGTCTATGGCAAGGGTTATTTTCCTTCGTAGCAAGGGTTTTAACCCCTGCTACAGGATGTAGCAACGGTTTAACCAACCCTTGGACGGACCCTTGGCAAAGTCGCCCCTGCTACGTGTAGCAAGGGTTATAAGCAACCCTTGGTGCAAGTCCCCTGCAGCGGTTGTAGCAAGGGTTTAAACCCTTGCTACACGTATGTGAAAATTCAAGCGTCAGTTGCTCATACCATCGGTTATAACCCTTGCATTATTCGTCCTACATCTAGCAAGGATTTCAACCCTTGCTACAGGCCTTTGTAACTTTATGTAAAATTGCTGAAGATACGCTACTTGCAAGGGTTAAAACCCTTGCACAGTTTGTGACTAAAGCTAAAAAAACATTTGTGTCAAAATCAAAATGGTCGCTAAAAGTCGTCACTAAAGAGAGGCAACAAGATTCGTGGCAAAAGCTTGGTTGCAAACCCTGGTTATTAAAACAAATCCAGAACCAAGTTTGTTACTAAAACTCATATCATATACCCATTAATCATAACATAATATGATTCATAATCCAAAATGGTGTTCTTTACATGACTAAATACTAATCACCATGAACATTCAAACATACTCAAAAGAACCCAAAATGGTGTTCTTTACATGACCAAAGTCATACCATATACCCATGAATCATAACATAATATGATTCATAATCCAAAATGGTGTTCTTTACATGGTGTTCTTTACCATCGACCATTTCCAAAATGCTTCATACGACATTTGATCACGAAGCTCGAGATCCCATTGATGGAGTCGGAGCACTAGCTTGAGGTGAACATAAAGCTTCTCCATGAAAAACCCATGTAGTATATCCTCTTAGAATACCATCACAAATGAGGTGCACCCGAATATCTTCACATGTTTGTGCATATACATTTACACAATTTATACAAGGACACAATATATTTGCTCCATGAGATGCATTTCGAAATGCATAATCAAGAAAAAGTTGTACTCCGTGTTTATATTCATTGCTCGTTCTATGTTTCTTCATCCAGCTCTTGTCCATTTTGCCGATTATAGATATCACTGCAAGTCAAAATGAAAAGATTCTATCAATCAAAAGTTGGACCGGGATGAACTGAGTTGTTTGACTTAAGTTCCTCTACTGATGGATACAGTATCTCAATCAACATTTCAAGCTCTGCATCTATAAGGCAAAAAAATCCATTCAAAGTTACCTTGCAATCATCAAAATTGAACCAAGGCGCCGGCAACTCCCGGACCCATGACGAAAATTGAACAGATTCGGCCAAATCAGGAAATGGGTAGTCAAAGAACACGAGAATGCAGAGGCAGCGAAAGTGATGATGGGCGACGGTATTTGGATGCTCCGATCTAACTCCGACTGTCAACTCTCCGATCTAACTCGCTCACTCCGGCAGAATCACCAAAATGGAGAAGGGGTTCTCCGTTCTCGTATCGTGAAATGGAACAGGGGTTCTGAAATTTGTTTTAAGTTGTAGCAAGGGTTCTGGACCCTTGAGAATAAGCGTTGCTACCAAAAAATGTGAAAGGGGAAACAGGGGTTTTCGCGTTTTGCCGAAATCTGGTTTAAGAGTAGCAAGGGTTTACGAACCCTTGAAAAGAAGCGTTGCTACAAAAAATTTCGGAAAAATTAGCAAGGGTTCTGGAACCCTTGCTACAAAACCCTCGGCATAAGTCCTTTTTTTTTGTAGTGTTTACATGGTGTAAGTGTGGTTAGTTAATTGTTATTCGGTTACATTTCAAGAGTTAATTAATTGGTTGGGAACTCCTACAGTAATTAGTTGGGTATAATTTCACGTTAGATAAATTGCATGAATTTGTACCTTTTAAATATACTAAAATCAGTTCAGGCCTTCAATTACCAAAACAGTGGTAACTGATAGTACAGGTTATCACTTGCTATTCCTTTATAGCTGTTACGTAAAATAATACACATACATTATGTAAAAGTTACGTAACGATGTTTGTTCAATATTCGTTACGTAAATAGTTGATTCATCATAAACATAACGTAAGACTTTCGTAATTACGTAGTACTTTACGTAACGCAAGGCTAATATTCATTATGTAAATACATAAGGTTTTTGTAATGGCTTAACACTTTACATAACACACGATTTAATTTTTATTAAGTAATTACGTAAGGCTTCCGTAATGACACTTCACAACTACCGCGCAAAATACACACCATAATGTAAAGATTACGGAAGGATAGTTATTTATTAAGTAACAGTTAAATCAGAAGTGTTAAGTAAAGCTTATGTAATGACTTATCACTTTACGTAACGCGAGGTTATCGTTCATTACGTAAGAGGATCGTCTATTACGTAAAGACTTCCATAATGACACTTTACAACTGTTATGTAAGATAAGCTTGAGTTCCGTAACCATTACGTAGCGACTATTCTATTTTACGTAATGCAAACAGGTAACCGGAATTCAAATTAGCTTGTAGTAGGAATTTCCTAATTAATTAATTTCTAACTTTTGGTCTACAAAGATTTTAATAAATATCTTAGCCAATTAGATAATTTGTCAATCCGAAGAGGCTATTTTAGTATTTTTCTTTAAAATAGGAATCCGAAAACGTGATTTCTTCTTGTTTTCTCTCTATTTACCTCAGAAGCCATTTGGTTGAGAGCTATCGACATAAGTCCCCAAATGTAGCAACACTCTCTCTCAGAAGATTCTTCACCTCTCCTTCCAGGGAGTGTCAATACCATTCGACCTCCGGTAACCAATTCCTGAGCCCTAAACTTCAAGAAGGATTAAAAGTCCGTCTGGAATTGTTTGTAATAGGCTTCCAACACACATGGAGGACTGCTACTGCCAGGTAAATATTTCCCTTCTTCTCCTCAAGACCTTCAGGAACCTGAGAGCGCCAGTGAAGACTGTAGGAAGAGTGGATGAAGTGAAGGCTATCAGTCGAAAATAGCCTGTCGTAGAAAGAACCTGGAACTCCGACGATGAAAGCCTGGGCTCCCATTTCTTTCTTCATGTTTTCCTTGAATCTTTGAATGGAGGTGAAGACATGATTGAAGTCGTTTCCAGGGAGGACGTTTAGGAATATATGAAGCTCAGGGCATTCCTGCCCTAGTTCCGTGGAAAGCTTGTGGACGACCTTGATTACCTCCGACACGAGGAGAAGGGTGTTGGGCCCTGAAGCGCAACCCAAATCTGCCATTGTCAGGCTGCTTTTGGGGAAACTCGAGTCGTACATTAGTTCTGCAATGGTTTCCTTTGTTATAGGCAGGGTCCTTGAGATCCCCTTTCGCTGCAAATTAACCAGACACAGTGTTAGTAAATGGTATATGATCCAATATTAACTTCCACCCATCAAGTCAAGTTATTAGAACCAATTAGTTTATGGCATGATTGTGAAATGGGTATGTCTTTCAATCTCTATTATATTCAAGTTTTCACAACTCTGAATATTAACAGTTGACGATTAAAATATAAGGGTATACTGGACATGTACAAATGCCACTTATTGAAATAAAGTAAAAGAGTCACGTATATGATTCATAAACTAACTGATCCCAATAATTCGATCATGGTCAAACAGATCATGGATCGGTCGATTACTCTCGATTGATCAGACTCTGTGATGGGGTTCTCTTGTCTCATTTACCTGAAGCAAGGAGTTCATGGCATAGCTGGTCTCTTCCAGGCCGCCATTCATATGCAGCACGTTAGCCATTTCCACGATCTCTTGCTTTCCGACAGAGTTGCGGCAGAAATGTTTGTTTTCTTTCCAATGCTTTTGGAGTTTAGTTGGTGTCTGGTTCTTGCACAGTCGGATGCATACTTGTGGATAAGCGTTGACTGATGATTTGCAATGAAACCTACCCCTAATAATTCACAAGCTAATTAAGGTAGGCCTTCAATTATATCATCAATGCATGAGTTTATATATGGAGCCGTCCAAGTTGCAGAACATGGAACAGCAAATATCAAGAAACAAGTAGAGTATATTATTGTTTAGTCATTCATTCCAATTTTGTGTTAATTACCATTTATGTTAGTTGTACCACCAATTCCATTTGTGTAGCTGATTGCGGTCTTATTTTTTTCCATTTTTGTTTTTGTCACATTAATTGGTCCAGCAATTATATAAAAAGGACCCCAGACTCAGACTGCCTGATATCTCCAGGTCACCAACCAGGCTCTCAGCCATTCGTTTGTATTTACTTTGATAAAGGGCCAATTTTCGTTTGCTTTAATAGGTGATACCGTGATAGTGAATCTATAATACCCTAATTGGCCAACACTACTTTTATCAAAATACTCTAAAAAATGAATGAACATTAAATAGATTGAATAATAGCGAAAATGTTGAGCTAAATAAAAGAGAAGATATAAGAAGTCTGACATACCTTGAAACATCTTGTCGTAATAAATATCCATCCCGTAAAATCTCGTAAAATCTCTCGTTCTACTAAAGCACTGAGTTAAATTCATCGTACTGAAACTCCTTTGGAGTCGGAAATCATTCGGGTGTCATGTCTGGCTGTAATTATACTCCTGCAACTTCTCAGTCCTGATCGATCCTAGTTTCGCTTTAATGGTGAAAAACTCATAATAACATGCTTGATAAATAAATAAATATGCTCGTGCAATGCTCAGTACATTATTATCCTTAAATTTAATTGGATCTTATCTTATGAATAGGACCCCGAACTTCACTTAATTAGCGCAACCGTCCGGCCACCAAAACGTGATAAACCTAAAAACTTGATAACATGAACATAACTTCCACCTGATGTGAAGTAAAGGTAACTGTGTTTCATCTAAGCAACTAACAGGTACCAACCAGGGGCGGAGCTACACTAGGTCTCGGGAGGGCCCCGGCCCCCCCGAGAATTTTGAAAGATACGTATAAAAATATCGGTATTTGGAAATTTCGTACAAAATAAATGAAATGTATATAAATATTAGTGTGCAAAATGGAAACAAAAAACAAGACAATCTAGCGGATGCAAACTTGATAGTACATCCCTTAGGTCAAGGGTTTGAAACCCATTGCATGCAGATGCTATGATTTAAACTTTTCAGTTTTAATAACTTCCCATTCATTTTTTTTTTTTTTTGTGCGAACTTTCAGTTTTAATAACTTCCCATTCATTTTTTTTTTGTGCGAACTTCCCATTCATTTTTCATCATGTAGTTCTTTTTATTTCTATTAAATTCAATATGGTTTCAGTCTTTGTCTCATAAGTTATCAATTTGCATATTTTGTTTTCTTAAATTCTACACTATAAAATCATATCAATTAAGTTCTTCAAATTAAAATTTTAAAGAATACTCTTCGAATAAATAATGAATGAAGAATTTTTTTAGAAGATACTAGACAAGATTATGATTTCCAAATATGAAAAATAGAATGTGTTACAAAATATTGAAATGCACTATTAAATTAAAATTTTAAAGAATACTCTTCGGATAAATAATGAATGAAGAATTTTTTTAGAAGAGACTAGACAGGATGATGATTTTTCAAATATGAAAAATAGAATGTGTTACAAAATATTGAAATGCACTATTAATTTATTTACTTTCTTTCATTTATATTGTATTGTGATACAAAATTTTAGTTCATTATGATCATCTAGAATTGATGTTATTATAATAAACCTCCCTTATGAAAGCTGAATCATGTCTTTGTCCTCCGACTAAAAGATGAAAATACATTTTCTACACTTGCCATCAGAACGGGTCAAATCAATACTAATTTTAGAAGCATACAAACTAATGAATTCATAGAAAAAACTTACGGATATGACATATTTAATTTTGTCTACATAAAATAAACAACACTATAAATTTTATTTCGAGTAACTCTAATAATCTAAAAATGCGATAATAATAATAATATTAAAATAAATTTTCTTAATTTTTATCGTTTTTTGAAGTAACATAATAAAATATTCCGGCCCCCCGAACACCGAATCCTAGCTCCGCCCCTCGTACCAACATAATTGATCATAAGGTAACCGTGAGCTATCTAAGCAACTTATCAATACCAACTCTTGCAAACATGACCTCCTCATCTGAAGCTTTGAAACGAAATTTCGAGGTCATCGTTTCTTACCTACAGAACGCGAGGTGATGCTCGGGAGCCGAATGACTGTTACTTCCTTCTGTCCAGCGTACGAGAATAAGATATGCTCTATCGTCTTGGTGTGCGTTTACGTAGTGAGGAGGAAACAGAGTCTCACCCCTTGCAGTAAAGGATTGGAATCGAGAGGCAACTAGGGGTGGCTTTCTCTCACTCTTTTCCTAGAGAGAGATAGAGAGAATGTAGTTGTTATGGGTTGTCTAGCTAGCTTCCCTAATATAATGGAGTTGCACGAGAATGATGGATAAGGGAATAGGGGGTGTAAAGGGCTTGTTGGCGGGTAAGTTGTTGTAGCTTATAACTGGTTGAAAATGACTCTTTAATGGGCACAAATATGGTTGCGGAAGGGTAGTGAAGGAGATATCGATTATATATAAGTGTGGTTGGTATTAGTAAACGGTATATGATTCACGATTGAACCTTTCCAACAGCTCGAGTTATTGGGATCAATTGGTTCTTGACATGGTATCAAAGCCTTCTGTGACCGTGAGGTCTTCTGTTCGATTCCCGGTGACCCCCATCTGTTTCTGTTAAGTACATGGTGTCCGGACCTGTGCATGTCCAAACTCCATGCCTATCTGAATGGCTTGAGTTTGAGGGGGTTTATTAGTAAACGGTATATGATCCACGATTGAACATTTCCCAACAGCTCGAGTTATTGGGATCAACTGGTTCTTGACAGTTGGGGGTATAACAAAATGGTTCTTTAATCCTTGCCAAAAGTATCTATCAAGTTGCTCCGGGTCATGGTAAGTGAGTGCAGTTGTGATGGCAATGGGGCGAGACGAGGCGGTTAATTCGGTATTCATTATTTCCCTGCTAATAAGGGTGAGTCAAGTCGAATAATACGTGTGCGGGTTAGAAACAGGACAGGTCGATCCTGTGAGGGATTAAAGATGTTGTTTGTATTAAATAGGAGAGTGGTGTTAAATAACCACTATACAACAGAAAGCAACCCACGTAGCTACAATGAGGGAACCACTATCCACTAAGTACAATAATTAAATAATAATGAAATGATATTAACGGATTTGAGATACATCCTCATCACGCCCCCGCAAGATGGTGGGCGGAGCAACACCGATTTTGGAACGAAGAAGCTGAAATCGAGCAATCGGGAGAGGCTTGGTCAAGGCGTCGGCCACCTGATGAGTCGTTGGGATATGGCAAACAAGAAGTAGGTGATTTTGAACAAGCTCGCGAACGAAGTGGTAGTCGAGGGCCAGATGTTTCATGCGGGAATGGAAGACCGGATTGGCAGAGAAGTTGACAGCACCGAGATTGTCACAGTGGAGAGTCGGCGCAGACGGGAGTGGTTGATGGAGTTCAAGAAGCAGGTTCTGCACCCATTGAAGTTCGGATGTAGCATTGGCTGGCTAGGGCATGATATTCGGCTTCGGTGCTGGAGCGGGCGATGGAACGTTGCTTCTTGGATTGCCATGAGATGAGATTGCCGCCGTAGTAGATAAGAAATCCCATAGTGGAAGTGCGATAAGTGCGATCACCGGCCCAATCTGAGTCTGCAAAAGCCACCAAGGACGGAGTCGTGGAAGGACATAGATGAAGGCCGAGGGAGGAGGTGCCCTTTAGGTAACGGAGTAGATGTTTGACATGCTGCCAATGTAGCTGAGTCGGTGAGTGCATAAACTGAGACAACTTGTTGACTGCAAACACAATATCCTAGTGCATAACAAGTATTGAAGGGAGCCTAGGACCTGTTTATAGATAGTGACATCCGCCGGTGGGTAGCCATCATTGAGAACAAGCTTGGAAGTGGAGGAGAGAGGAGTCGGAACAGACTGAGCACCAGACATGCGAAGCCGAGCAAAGAGTTCGACGATGTACTTGTGTTGAGAGAGGCGCAAACCAGTAGGAGTGGGTAAAACCTCGATGCCAAGGATATAGTTGACAGGTCCAAGGCTTTTGAGAGAGAAGCGAGTATCCAGGCGATCTTGAAATTGCGCCAGAAAGGTGGCTTCATTATCGGTCAAGAGAAGATCGTCAACATATACAAGGAAGTAAAGAGTGACGGAGCCTTTGTGATAGACGAACAAGGAGGCGTCGGACTGGGTCTTGAAAAACCCCTCTTGCA